GTCGTCCGACTCTTCCGTGCCCGCCCTCGTACACCCAGGAATCTACGACTTCAGGTTCAAGTTGCCCTAGTGTGCCGAGGCTCGACCTCAAGCACTTTGAAGGGCGTCGCATCCCCGACCTGTCAAGCAATGATTCCAAGGAGATACCTCGCGTTACGTGTTTGCCGTGGCGGGCCGGGGTGGTTTGGTGGGATACGCGGCAAAGCCCGGCGCATGTGGCCCCGTCAAACGTTCGGTTATGCGTGGTGGAAAAGAGAGGATACCCATCCTGCCTCGTAGTTCCATGTTCCCACTGCCTCTCTATCTGTCTATCTCTGTTGTATTTGGGAGCGTGTCACGCCCGCACCCCTCGTTCGTATTGTAGTCAAGGGATTTCTTTCGTGCTGTTACGTGTACAGAACGTTCACCGGCACTATACCGGACACCGGCCCTATTGAAAGTACAGAGAGACTTGGTATTTCAGTGTGTGCGAGCCGAAAGCATCGGCACTGTACCGGACACCCGGCACTATTCGACCGGCACTAAGAGGTCCCTCGACTGCGTGTAATGTCATGTTTCTCCCCTCTGAATTTTCGCCCATATCCTCCTCGCCAACCCCTACCTCCCTCTCCCTACCACCCACGCTTCCATCCACCTGCAGGATGTACAGTGACGGGAAAAACGGGGAAGGGATATGTGAGTGGGAAGAAAACGTCGAGAGTACTCTAGAGCGATTTCCCGGGGCAGCCGTGCGCTGCACTCAGCGACAAGACCTGTTGCGAAATGGGCAGTTTAGTGATGCCGCAAAAAAAACGTTGAGATTTGATTATTTGGCAACATCAGTCCAAGAGCCTTGCTTCATTGAGCGCCCCAACGATGTAATTATATGGATTGCGGCGCATCTATCTAGGTTTGCCGCAAGGACCAAAATCTTTTGGGAGTGAGCAATTGTCACAAGTCGTAGAAACGTTTGGAACGAACTGCATACATCGTACAAGTGCGTGATTCGACATCGACCGATACGGTCTCGCCTGTGACTTTCTTTGATGGCCGAGACGCAGATGTCGGAACCTCAAGCAATCAGTGGGAAGACGGGCCGGACGTGTGTATGGGCAACATCATCCGTGACAACTACATCAAGACAAGGGTAAGGGAAGAAGCACCGATGTTCGCTAGCTTCATGACACACAAAGGTTCAATATTTTTTCATGGTAAATCACCGCAGAATATTTTGGAGCTGCATGTCGTCGTACCTCGTGCCAAAACCAAGTCGATCATAGGAGTTGATACAAGGTGTGTGTGTGATATCAAATGGGCGGGCATGTTCAGAATCGGATCGGAACCGGCGGGGTACTGTTGATTGTCGGGCTCGAAGCCCGAAAACGATGCAGAGCGCAGTTTTCTCGCCGCACGGTTACTGTTTTGTGATTGGACGCAGCTTGAGCACATTTTTTCGAAGAATGGTTGCCTGTGGTGGTTTGATGCGTGTCAAGTTGGGGGGGGCGTTGGCGAGAGCCTCTGCGATCTGACGACAACGACAGTGTACTTGGGCAGCAACGGCCGCTCCTCGCCTGTTACCAGAACTCCGCCGTGCCCGCACGACCTCATGTTCGCTTTGTGGCCGCTACTGCTGTACTACCTCCATCAGGGTAACGAAGGTATTGAAGTGAAAGAAGGAAGCGTTGACACCCTGATCGAGTACAACGAGGTGCACATGCAATACGACGAGGAGTCCGGAGGTGAGTCGAAGAGACGAGGATAGAGGCGTTAGATAGCTCTGCTTTTTCGCACAACGAACGGTTCTCCGCGAGATATTGATTCGGCGGTCGGTTCGAGGTGAAGCAGATGGGAAAATTCGACCCGTGAGAGGGTCCTTCGCTAAAGAAGAATCGATCGTTCCGCAGTCCCTTTTCACAACAAGTCTTTGTAACCCTGGCGGTCTTTGGGGCCACGAGGGCGCGGATGACTCCGTCGTTTGCTAAGGCTCGAACACGTGACTAGGACACATAGCTGTGGGAGGTAATCGAGAGAATATATTGCTGATGTACATATCTGATTTGCATTTTATGATTGCCTCAATCGCGACAGGGTAAACAATCGTTGGCGCAAGTCTTAGTCAGCCGTGCGGCACTGGTTGAGATGCATCCGTATTTAGCAAAACCTAACGTAGGAACTCGTCTTCTCTGGGCTATGCCATGCACACTGCGAGGCATTCCAGAAGCACAAGGGCGTGTTCCCACAGCAGTACAAGCGTTCCCGATAGCGTGAAACACTTCCGCCTTAGATGCAGTCTTTGCATCAACCTGCTGCGGCGGGCACTGAAGCAATCGCGAATCACACAAGTAACAGCGACGAAAAAAATCCCATCGTTGGTGGACAGGCATCGGAAGCCGTGGTGACCGGAGCATCATCCGCTACAACCACATTCAAGACACGGACGGCGCGGGTGTCCGTCTAGGAGGCCATATCGTCGACGGCATTGAGTACGGCGCCAACAACCAGGTGCTCCTGAAACCTGACCATGTCGAGAATTCTCACTTCATGCGATCGCAAGGCGCCGCATTTTCTCACATACGTGAATCGCTTGCATATCAGAATTCAAGGGCTTTGCGAGGGAGGCTCGTCAGAGGAAGTTTCATCACCCGAATAATTACTATCGTCACGGGGGTGGGTGTCTGACAGTAGAGAGCTACACCGTTACTGTAAGGCAGACGGTTCTTTGACGCCCATCCTAGTAGCCGTTCTCAACCGCGAAAAATCGCACTTCATTGCAAAGACGCACCACCTGTCGACGGCTTTCCCGCCCCCCCCATAAACCTGGACGACGAGGGTGACGTGGCCGATTTCAGTTTGATGAAGTGATTTCTGGCCGGAGCAACTTCGCACGCACTAAATTTGACAAGACGAAATGGTGTCGAGCGAGTCGATATACAACAACAGCAGTGTGTATTTACCCATCCATCCCATAGGCGAACTCCTGCCTCCGGTTTCTCATCCGCCGTCTTACTATCCGGGCCCCTCGCGCATGCACAAGGTATACGGAAACACCATGGTCGACTGCCGGGCCTCCGCAGTAAAGGTCATGGTCGACCCCCAGGGTCAGATCTGCGAGAACGACGTTACACTTCCTGATGACGTTGACGAGGACGACGTGAGTGTGGAACCCTAGGTTGTCGACCGGCGTTTTTTGCTGACCTGTCTTCCTTGTGGATACGATACCCCAAGGTGTGACGGCGTCACGAGGGTTGGTCATGGTCACTTGGTGGAGATTCTCCGCGCGAACAAATCAGACCTTAGGGGTAGGAGAGGCTTTTCTGGCTTCTGAGATTACCGCCGAAGCCTGACGGGGGTTTCGAACATCTCATTCTTTAATTGAGCAACGCACGCGAAAAGGGGTAGGAATTCTCTCATAGAGGAGTACGATGCGGTGCCGCTGTTCTGTCCCCGCTGAAGCACTTTCGTCAAAGGCTCATCGTGAGAACAAGTTATAGCACGCCCCCCTTCGCCATTCCTCTGAGCTCCGGTTCTCTCTCTCTCTCTCTCTCTCTCTCCCTCTCTCCCCTTCTGTCTGTCTGTCTGTCGTTCCTTGAACGTGGCGCTATCAATGCAGTATGACTATTCCGGAGGAGTCTACTACTATGACCCGTTGATACCCTGTGACTCTTCGTCCACGTCGGTTGCCGAGCCAACCCCTGCAACGGTAATATTGATACTCAATAGAATACACCAGGGAAAAAACACCGAAATACAATGACGGCAGCGCGTATTTAGTGCTTTTCATGTGATATGCTGGCGCCGTCCATGTAGATGTGGGCCGTTCATGTTTTGCTCGGGTGGCGAGACTAGTCCGCTGTCCTTTACGTTGTGTTTGACATGATGACTCCGGGAAGGCATTGGGACCTTCGACCGCTATTTGCATTACCGTGGTATGTCATTGGCAACAAAAGTAGAAATCCCACAAGGCAACAACAACCTCGGGTTATTCTGCTCTTTTTGGACAGGTCGCCCTCGTGGTTTAGTTTTTCTTGGGGCCATGCAAAGATAGATGCAGGGGTGAACACCTCAGAGGCGTGTTGTCACCGTTTCATCCGCTGGCATGGGAAGGGGTTGGTTCGTGCGTGCGTGAGTGCACTTAAGGGCAGAAAGTGCGCGAAGTCCTCCTCATGGGGTCGAAAAGGGAAGCATACGAGCCGCGATATATCATGGGTCTTAGCTCTTGAGCCAGAGATTCAGCAATCGCGGGGTTTTTATTTGCATAGCCTAGGCAACGGAGAGTGCGCCTCATATCACAAAATATGTGATGGAAACGGACTAAAACACTCAGCCATCACCGGCGCGCCTCGTTGTTGTGTGCCCAGGTGACCCCGTCACCGGAGGCAACACTCGAGCCAACGCCCGAGCCTGGAACTGGTGAGTGTTTCCGAAGATGCACCATTCTTCCTGCCCCTGCCATGCACTGTGTGACTCCCGTATCAACAAAATACTCCACCATTCGGATGCAAGGGTGAAAGTCCCGATTGTGACAAGTATTCCAGACAGATTGGCATCGTTCTTTAGAGAAAAGCAACTCCGTTGCGTCCCCCTCCCGGGCCACCACCTCGCCTGGAGTATGGCGCAATAAAAAAAATTGAAGGCTCGGGTCACTGGGTGCAAGTAACAAAATGATCACAAGGCGAAACCCACACTGACGAATACCCGCACATTTACCACCGCCCAAAAAGGGCGATGGGAAGAGGCATGGGGGAAGCGAGACCGCGGGCACAAGACAACCTTACGATCTCAGTGCTCGAAAATACGAGCGTGAACACGAACGAGGACTTTCTTGGCGTCGTCGTGCTATGTATTCGGTCACGCGGACTAATAAGGAATTTAATAACAACAAGGACAGGTAACGGCGGGAAAACCGTTCGACACAGGCAGACAGATACTGTAAACAGATAGACAGAGGCAGGCAGATGGTTTTATAACGTGAGGGAGGCCAGATTATATTGCGGGAGTACCGAAACGACACAAATATTGCTAGGCAACGTCGTCATGGGCAAGAGAGCGGAGCTTGCTGGCTTTCTGGCTGCGGTAAGTTTTGACATAACTGTTCCAGTAGGAAGTCGCAGAATTTTTCCAAAGTGGGAGAACACTGTTGGTGATGCAGGAGTAGAGGCAGCGACGTGAACAGAGGAATAATTGTCGGAAATGGTCATCCACCGCGGGAACCACTGGATACGCACAAGGACGACAACTATACCAGTTGGAATGGAAGCGTGTTATTAAAGATAGACAACATGACGTTGAGGTAAGCATAGCAACAATTACACCGAAATTACATAAAATGCACCCGCACCTCATGTTTGTGCCACACTAAACAACAATCAGCACGCTCTGCTCAACCTATCACCACACGTTCCACGTATGTACTGCTCGCGCCCGCACGACCCGGTCGTAAGCCCATACGTTTGTAGAAACGGAGAGTACGTGCAGCGACGGCATCGAGGGCATCGACGGCAACGGCGTCGTCTGCTGCCCGCTCGGCTGTGGCCAGTGCGTAGGTACGGGGTGCAGCACTGCTGGCGCTGCGAACGGGCTTTCCTCTGGTTCATGCTGCGGAGGAGAGATCAAGGATAGCGGCAACTACTGTGACGACACCGGCGTAGCCCCCTGCATCTACGGCAGCGCCCCGGAAGATGACGATGATGACGGCGGTGAGCGGAGTACCACACTGTGTACCATGCGTTCTGCTCGTTGGTGGCACAAACGTTTTGCCCGCCAGTCGGGGAATGTGAGATGCAAGTAGGTAGACTGGCGAATTTCCACTTACCACGATACCAATGTACAAGCAAAATTTGTTGTCGGAGACGGATCAATCTATCGCTTGTTGTACGCGCAAGAGTTGAAATGCAACATTGTTGGAAAAATGGACTGGTATAGGTAGAATATTCTTCGCCCCCCCTCCCAAAATTTCTGGACACTAGCGGCGAGCACACGTGCACCGGTGTTGTTGTAGGTCGTACAGATAGCGCCCGCACTTATGAAATTGAGAATCTCAAAAAATCAGAAGCTAAGAACTTGAGCACCTCGGTTAAGAACCCCACACTAAAACATATTTAGCGACCAGTTTTAGCCAACAAGAGGATGATCAACAAAATAAGAACTCCAGCCTCGGCCAAAACTAGCGGTTCTAAAGTGCGGGCGCCATCTGTAGCGCTTGTGAGCGCGAGAGACGACCTCGGAGTGCGTGGGCACGCCGAAGGGTTGAGGCACTGGCCACCATAGAACAGGTGGACACAGGAAGTAGTGCCTTTCTCCCGCCCACCCACCCCTTTTATTTCGAAGATGGGGGAACGGAAACGGGTACGAAGTCCTTATTTCCTGGTGAGGTTCAAGAGTTATCTTGGGTGTAGAGTGTAGTTGAATGGTCGAGCACCATTTGGGGAATCGGCCACTCCAGGAGTAGCCGGTTTCCACCGGCTGGATGTAGCTGACATTCTTGCGGAGAGAGAGAAAGAGACAGGAATCAGGCGCGAGGATTGATTGGTTTTTCAGCGTCGGTGCTTACCCCTTCTCTTTCTCTCTCGATCTTTGGTCATCTGGAAACCGACAATGATCAAGCAACTCGAAAAAAATACAAAAAATACTGTTGTGTGTTCAACAGCAGGAGGTGGCACGTGCAGCGATGGCATCGAGGGCATCGACGGCAACGGCGCCGTCTGCTGCCCGCTCGGCTGTGGCCAGTGCGGAGGAACGGGATGCACCAGTGCTGGCGCCGCGAACGGTCTTGACTCTGGTTCTTGCTGCGGAGGATCGATCAAGAGTAGCGGCAACTACTGTGACGACACCGGCGAAGCCCCGTGCATCTACGGCCGCGCCCCCGACGTCTAACCAAAACTCGCTGAATTGGTCCAAAAGAGCACGTGCAGGAACGACCTCGAATGCATCGACCACAAGGGCGAAATCTGTTGTCCGCTCGGGTGTGGCCCGTGCGGAGAATCGGGATGCGGCATTACTAGCGCCACGAACGGTCTTGGCAGGTCTTGCTGCCTATCGGGGCGAATGATAGCTGCGACGACACTAACGAGGTCTCATACATCATTCAAGACGGCGGCGACGACGACGACGAAGGCGCTGCTGCTTCAGGGGGGGGGGGCATGACTCGGAGAATCATTAGTCGAGTGCCACCACCACCCGTACGGGGCGGGTGTTTGTACAAGGTTTGTCAGTAAACACCATGCGGTGGATTTTCTGTACGCAACGGGATCGTGCTGGTGGGCCATGAACACAAGTGAATTCCCATCGAATGTGGGGGGGAGGGTTGCCCCGTATTTTTCCTTATACTTTGTGTTGTGTCATGTTTTGTCTCACAGAGTCATCGGTGACTATATTGCTGACTTTGAAGTAAGGGTTCTGAGGTATTCATGTGGTAATACCGCACACGACTCGTGAAAAACGGTTCTTGCATTCTTAGTTTTAGTAGGTTGCAGACGTATACGCATATCATAGCCTGCTTAGAGGCCACGCTATAAGAAGTGTGTGTATGCCTCCTGAGCAGGAATGAAACTCCGGACAAGTTTTAGGCTCGGCCCGTTGACCCCGAAGAGTGCAGTCACTCGCGAGACGGGTGCCTGCGCAAACCTTTCGAAAAGAGTTTGATCGTGCACGTGTGGGTGGGGGCGTACTCATGTTGCACGTGCTGTCTCGCGGGTCATCGGTCGGTGTAATATTTCGGTATTTAATTGAAGGAGGGGTTCGAGGTATTAGTTTGGCTTTGCCACACACCACTCGTGAAAAATGTTGTACATCATAGCCTGCTTAGAGGCCAAGTTTTGGGAAAAGTTTGTTTTGATCGGCGGTAGGAATGAGACTCCGGTAAAGTTTGAGACTCGGTCCATTGACCCCGAAGAGTGCAGTGCCTCGCGTAACGGGCGCCTGGACAAACCGTTTGAAAAGCGTTTGATGGTGCAGGTGTGGGAGGGGGGTGTACTAATGTTGCACGTATTGTCTCGAGGGTAATCGGTGTAGTATTATTTGAAGGAGGGGTTGTGAGGTATTCATGAGGCTTTGCCACACGCCACTCGTGAAAAACTGTTGTTACATTAACTACATGGCGCACATACAATGAATACCATAACATGCTTAGAGGCCAAGGATAGGAAAAGATTGTTTTGATCCGCGGCAGGAATGAAACGCCGGAAAAGTTTGAGACTCGGTCCGTTGACCCTGAAGACTGTCAGTGCCTCGCGTGACGGGGGTTTGCAAAATTGTTTTGTTCATCGTGTCATTTTTGCATCGTGCAGGTGTGTGGGGGTATGCAAATGCACGCGGGGGGTCGTGTTTTTTTCTGTCATCGGAAACGTCGTCAATCATTTTGTCAACCCGTTGTGATGGTGTGCTCTGCTTAGTCACCAATCTCGCAGGCGAACGTGGTACTAGGAGTATTGCTGGAGAAGTTTCATCGGTGTTCTTATCTCTTTGTCAATCAATATTTTTAATGGTACAACGCATCGAGGAGACACCCAAGTAGCACAAAATGCTGAAACAGCGCTCGCTCTGAAAGCACACGTATCTACTACACAGCCAGGGATAGGAGATACACCTTGGCCCGGGGGGTGGCCCCCGGCGTGTTTTGAAAGCTGGCAAGTAGTCTTTTTCGGCGCGATGAGTCTAGGCAAGCATCACACGGGGGGCGTGCGAGAATAGCGATGGGAGGAAATGCTTGGTGACGTAAGGGTTCGAGGTTTGAACCCAACATGAGATGATGGACGTTCTCTGCGATCAAGATCATCCAGAACAAAGGCTCCTCAGAACGGCAGGGGCGGTCCGGCAGGACGCTTGCGCGAGCGGGCTGGGAAAGGCGGTTCAGATCAGTTTTCCACGATTGCCATGGGTTGAGGCAAATGTCATCGAGGGCATGATCGGAGTGGCGGCCCCAAACCCCATTAGAACGCTGTTTCGACTACCATCAGCCGAAGGGCTTCGGTCACTGAGAAGTGCTCGAACCGCACCCACGACATACCACCGATACGGTTGTGCAACTGAACGTCGTGGCCACGAGCAATGGCAGCTGTGACGGCCATGGTGGGAGGAAACATGTTGTGTACGTATCGACGCGCCGGGGAGTGCGGTCGTCTGTCCACACAGCTTCACAACGTTCCCAGCGCCTGAGGCATACCGTACGTCCTCCTCAAGCTTGATGAAGTCCATGCCAGTCATGCTGAAGGCTTCCGTCAGGCGGTCGCGCAACCAGGACGGATCCTGCCTGAAGTTGTGAGCTCCGTCGACAGGGTCACCGGCGGTACTTGTAACACGGACGCCCTAAAGGACTTGGTTGAGTCGCCCATGATCTGAGTTACCTTGTTGGAATTGTCTTGGCGCTGCTTGTGCTGCATCCAGTCGACGGCGAACACCCGGTTGTTGTGTATCGCCGGCGAAGACGCATACACATGGTGGTAGGGCTCTGAATCTTCCGTAAGGCTTTTGCGGCCCGTAGGGGTAGGCCGGTTGAGCAGTGTGACCAGCAGGTTTGCCGTAGAGCCGGTGCCCGTATCCACCTAGCTGTGGAGGTCCAGGCTGGAGCGGCTGTTGGTGTTGGTACACCGGCTGCTGGACCGGCTGGTAGAACGGCGCCGGTTGCGCTGGCCCCTGCTAGTAGTGCTGGGGTCGCTGCTGCAGCCGATGCTGTTGCTGATGCAAACGAAGCTGGTGGTGCTGGAGCGGCTGTTGCTGGTGCTATTGATGAGGATGCTGTTCGGCTCGGCCCGTTACGGGAAGCAACACCGGTGGCAACGGCGGCGGAAGCGGCGGCGGCAGCCGCTGCACCCCCTCCCTGCGACGGCAGGGGAGGAAGCGGAGGCAGGTGGTATGCTCCGCCGTGTAGGGGGAGAGGCTCAAGCAGCCCCCCCCCCCCCCCCCCCCCCCCCCCCCCCCCCCCCCCCCCCCCCCCCCCCCCCCCCCCCCCCCNCTTGTCCGAGTAGGTTCGGCTGCCCCACGGTTGGAAAGTTGGTGTCCGGCTTGAAGTTGCCAATTCATGACGACGAAGAGTATCTGGTCTCCGGGTCCATCACGGCGGTTATAATGTTGATGCGGGATCAATTGTCGGGTTCCCCTAGTCGACGTGCTACACGCCGCTGATGCCTACGTTCTCCGTAAGCGTACCTGTAAAAGAAGAGCTAGAGCCCTATATTTTTTGGGCCATTCACGACTCACGTATGTATAGACAAAACGAGATACATATTTATGAAGATCGATACGTAGGACCGCGAAGCACTGGCACAACTTCAGAAGGCAATAGATCATGTCCACACAGTGTCACACAGTTCCTCGCAAGCTCGACAATCGATGTATCAGGCTCAGCACTCAGTGTGGTTCGCACTTGGTGGGCAAAGACAACGGAAGAAGGTGGAATACTTCAGCGAAGCAAGCTGAAATAGCTTCTTTGAAAGCTGAGCTAACACAGAATCTTCCATCGAAGGTGAGCTGAGCCTGGATACTTCCATTGAAGGTGGGGAAGCTGTGGCTTCCTGCAAGCTCGAAGTGGGCAGAATCTTTCCTCCGTGGAAGCTGTCTGAAAAGGCTTCTGCGAAAGTCTTGTACGATTACACTTCTCTCGAAAACACCGGATTATACTTAATGAGAAAAAAAAAATTAATGAGAAAATATTTGGGCAGGTTGGCGCACCAAAAGTGCCAAATAATTTATTTTCGCTCCAACGAAAAACATCCTCGGGCGTCTTCCAAATCGAACACACGCCCTTTCGCCCGAGCTAACACCATCGGCAACGCCGAAAACCACGATAGTTCCGCTGCCAAGGACCCAAACCGCACCTGGTTCAACACCCCCACCCCCCCTACCCCCCGGGCAGACACAGATTTCTTACGAGTTCCTCCGCGTGTTTTCCGGTCAATTTCGATAGATTCCCTGACGCATTAGCAAAAAATAAAAATCTGAGCACACGGCACTTCGAAAGTTATGTTACTNTGCCAAGGACCCAAACCGCACCTGGTTCAACACCCCCACCCCCCCTACCCCCCGGGCAGACACAGATTTCTTACGAGTTCCTCCGCGTGTTTTCCGGTCAATTTCGATAGATTCCCTGACGCATTAGCAAAAAATAAAAATCTGAGCACACGGCACTTCGAAAGTTATGTTACTATGATGGAAAGACCCACAGCCCCTACGACAAGATTTGGGTACAGAGCTCGAAGTTGACAAATGTTGACCATCGTACGGCGCAAAACCGCTGGTACAAATCTTCTTGATCCCCAGAACGCCCCGGTCTCGACATCAATCTAGTCCCTGCTAGGCGCCAGGACTACTCTGAACCATAGCCGTCGTCATCGGACTCGTCTTCCTCAGAGTCCGCTTCCAGACCCGTCGTCGTCCGAGTCACTTGCTTCGCTCTCCGAGGACGACGAAGGTGCAGGCCGGCAAGTCTCCATCAGCACTTTTTTAATTCTCGCCGGGATGTTACCCGTTGAAGTTAGCGAACTGCAGCATGCGATAATGCGTGTGATAGGCTCGTCGCTGGCATCGTGCGTCATGCGCTTCGCGCCGCTCGTTAAAATGAAATCCTTGCTGAAACGCGCCACGGCATAGTCCTCGACAGTCGCGCTGCCCGCTCCCGCCCTAATGGTATTGTTAATAGGCCCATACCAGTGGATGTTGACGTTCACCGGCGAGGCGTCTGCAGCTATGCTCAGCACCTCCCCCAGCACAAACGGAGCTTCCTCCGCCTTGAAGAATGCGATGTCGCCAACGCTGGGTGGTGTTAGCGACGTTGGACGCACTGGGTTTAAGGCCTTTCTCTTAGAGGGCTCTGACACCCCGTTCGCCCGAGAGGGTGTGTTGTCCACTCCGTCCGCGGTCGCGCCCGCAGAGGGAGGCAAAGGCGCTGGCGGGATCGCCGTGTGGAGCCATTCCATTGGGAGGTCGAAGTTGTTGATCGTTCCTCCGGAGCGCAACAACTTCAGCGAGTCGCTCTGCTCAGCCAATAGAGCGCCGACCACACCGTCAGGAGCTGCAGAGAAAGTGAGGTTCATGGAGGGACACGCAAGGGAGGGCGCGATGAGATGGCAGTATCAACGTTTACAAGTACGTAGATGTTGTGGGTCATGAGATCTCCGAGACGAGAACAAGTAAAATCGTAAGATACTTAGACCAAACATCCCGTGAAAATGACTCGTTGTTGTCCTCCGAGCGACCGTAGCTTCGAACGTGTTTTCTTCGTTGTCAGAATGGTTTAGCCAGGAAGGTAGCGCCAATGTTACATTCGAAAGGTGTAACCACTCTCATGCTCTGTGAGGCCGAGCGAAGCACGACCATACTACACATGTGCACGCCCCTTACCTAGTGCGTAA